AAAAAGCAAAATACTATGGAATAGTATTAGATACAGCAAAAGAGAAAGTATCAGCATCAGAATCAAAAATAAATGATCTAAGGTAAAGTGCTACCAATTGAGATAACCACTCTTCAATACTCATAATTTGGGTAGTGTTAACTCTGCTTTCATGGCATCTGTGGCACCACCAATACATAAACTATTTCCTGAATACTTACCATTCAAACCCACATGACATGCCATTTTTTTTACAATTGAGGTTACTGTCTCTATTGTCATATGCTTTCCATATGCATTTTTGAATAACTAATCACTATTCTCTATTTTACCTCACATGCTTAGGTACTTTGAAACTAGACCAATAAGGCAATATTATAATTTTGCAGGGTCTATTGATATAAACTTACTTTTCATAAATTGGTCAGTTTTTAACCTGTTTACTATAACCTACCAGATTCCTTCATGTATTTTTAGGTCTCCTACTTTCATATTACATAACTCTCTAGATCGTCTCATTGTGCGCAAACCCAAGGCAACTAATGTGCAGTTTCTCATCCAAATTAAGGCTGAAGTGTTATTAGGTGGTTTATTTACATAATTTTTTAAAGCCTCTATAGATAAGGGGTCTTGTGGCCAATTTGTCTCCTTATTTTCTGCTGCTAATTTTAATAGCTTTTGGACTAAGTTCCTTATATTGAAGTTCAATGTGAGGTTCTCAAATCCATATATACAGTGATATCGACTGATTGCAATTAGGTAAAAGCATGAGTTTACTGATCATGATAACAAGTTGATCTATATGATAAATGTTATAATAGTTTTTGGTTTTGCTGAGCAAGCACTCATTCTATGTAGATCACAAAAGATACAAAATTTCTTCTATAATAGTTGTAAACATTTATCATATGGTAATTTTGGCAATAAAACTTTATAGGCTCTTGACAATAATAAGTTTAAAAATGTATTTTTACTATTTGAAATTTTCAGTTCAGGTTTTTTCAAAGTTCTGGTGGTATGTTTCCTTCTTGGCTTGGTAGAAAGCTCAGGTTTGCTAGTGGAAGATCCATTACTTCTCTTTTTTGTTGAAGCAGGAGTGGCTATCAGGAGGCAGAAGGCCATATTGGTATCACTAAAGTTACTCTTGCATGTGACTGTATTTCATGTTCAAATACTCTGTATAATAAACTAAGAGAGGAGCATACATAGTTGTTTTCATTTGCCCAACTTTGTATAAAGCAGTTAACTGCTTCTGTCTCCAGACAATAGAAGCGACTGTTAAAACGATTTACCTTCCTTGTGTGATAGCTTGCCATTCTGTTTATTGTAAATGGGTCCCACTATTGGTTTGCTATTTTGAATAGTTCTTGTTTTAGAAACCAATCTGATTCATTTAATGTTCTTGTTAATTCGTCTGCAGGATTTAGTTTTGAAGGAACTCACAAAAATTCATGAATCTGTATGTTTTTGGAATCACAAAGCTTCTATACTTTGCACATTAGTTCCTTCTGCCATAGTCTTTTTTCACTTGATTCCATTGTTTTTCTTGCTATACAATTATCTATAAATACAGTGATGTGATGGTGGGCAATAGTAGGTGTGAATGACTCAAGACTAAGTAACATTGCCATTGATTTAAGGAAAGTGATATCTGTATGTCTATGGTTGTTTTCCCAATTTCTGAATGCACATTTTTCTTCTATTGTAGCAGACCAACCTGTAGTTGATGCATCTACAAATACTAGTATTATTTGTGAAGATGTTTAAGCCAGACTTCCATTTCTTTTTGTTAAATTTTCTATTGCCCAACTTATGTCTATAGTTGCTTAAGGTGTTAGCTGCACTGAAGTGTCTTACTCTCAAGGCCTTTGATGCTTTGCATCTATAATTAAATAAAGTTCCAAACAGCAAACTTTTGCATATTTGAAAGCTCGAATTAGACTTATTAATTTTCTTGCAACTGCAGAAAGATGTCATACTGTTATTTGTTTTTTGGCTAAAATTTCTTTTAAACAAGACCTTACATCATTTATTTTTGATTCTGATGCTGATACTTTCTCTTTTGCTGTATCTAATACTATTCCATAGTATTTTGCTTTTT